CTGATTTTTAATGCCATAGTTTTACCACTGCTTTTAATGCAAAGAAAGTACATTTTTGATAGGCAATGGCTGATAAAAAAATTCTCTTCAGTGTTACAAATAATCCCTATGAATTGCAGAGGTGGAATTTGACCATTCAGGTGGAATTTGATAGTTTTTTGTTAATGATTGAATGATGTGGAGGGACATTTCGCCATGGCAGAGAAGACAAATGAACAACTTTTTCCCATAATCTGGGTATTGCCTAGAGCAAGTCCAGCTCAGCTTGGCTCAGAATTTGTTGGGAGCTGTGGAAATACATCCTTCCTACCATCATTTGACATGGTTTGGGCAATGGTTGGACTTGATGAGCTCAAGGGACTTTTCCAACCTAAATGATTCTATGTCACCATCATCTTTGCAATTTTCACGATGTTATTCCTCTTCAGTTTACCAAGATTTCCGTGGACTATCTGGGCACACTGGGTTGTGAACACAGCAATCTTTTATCTGTTGGCAGTCATGGCAGAAAGTGGTTGAACTTTTGTAGCTTTCAGTTTAACACAGATTCCATTTTGGACAGCACGTGGTGCATAGACTGTCAAACATTCTGATCATGGGGATGTCTTGCCCATCTTGATTATGGCCTCTTATTTGCTCAAGTTCAATTATCACATTGGTAACATCAAAGAAGTGGCAAATATGTATGGTTGTCCTGATGTGCATGTCACCCAGATACATTGTTTCATAATAATTCTTAAGGCAATATTTATAAAACATAAACCAGAAAGGGGAAAAAAACCCCCAACCCTTTTAAAGGTCTTTGGATCAAAGTACTGTAAACTTCTGATCAGGATAAATGCAAGGATAAATAAGGATATGGCCGGTGGTCAAGTGAAAATAAGCTTATGGGAATAGACCGTAATTCATTTAAAGGGTGATTCTTTGGTTGTAGAAGTGTATTTGATTTTATTTTACAGGGAAATGCAGAAGCCAGTTTTGTAACCATGGTGTTTCTCTCTTCTAGGAACATGCAAGAAATCTTTAACACGATTGTGAAAGAGATGACAGTTCTGCTTCTTCTATGATATTGGGACTTATGGGTACAGCAACCTCACAATGACAAATTTTCAGCATGAACTATTTACATCGGAGCTTTATCCAAGGTTTTACAGTAGCATTGAAGCTGCACTTTTTAATGGTGACAACCTGGACAAGTATAAAAAGATACAGATGGAAAATGTTTCAAATCTGCTGCTCCATCAAACACCACTTGCCTGAAAAAAAGAGAAGGGGAAGGAGAGGAATGTTGAATGAAGGAGGAAGGGAGTGAGGAGAGGTGGAGAGGCCTCAGTCATTCAAGTTGCATCTCTCATTTTTGTTCCAGCAGCTACTTCTGTGCACTGAGGGATAGACCTAAGAAGCAGAAGGTAATTTCTTTTATCATAATAAAACCCTGGAGAAAAAGCTCTGTTTGTGAACACTAGTTGGTGCTTTTATACACAGATCATAAAACTTAAAATAAATGTTAGTGAGGAGTCAGTCTTTCCTTTTATTGTTTTCTGACAGAAGATACACATGCATCCTATTTCAAGGATGATAAAATAATTAATTCTTTTGTCTCTTTCATGGTCCTTTTTATAAAAGCATCAGATGGATTTGGGATATAATTCTGAACCTGTGGATAAACCAGCTAAGGAGATAGCAAAAAGTACCTGAGAAGTAAGCATACAATAAGTTTCTTTCATTGAAATGGTGATTTAATTGCCACCAGTAATTTTTACCTGCAGCTTCTGATGCCAATGTGATGTGTTGACTCAGGATGAGGTACAGTGACGTAATGATAAGATATTAGAACATAAACTTGTTACCCTGGACTACTCCTAAAGATCTGGCTTTTAAAGCTGCAGGTGAATAAATGAGAAATAAAGCATGGTACTGATAATGGGGTTCAAAATGGACAAACAAAATGAATCAAAGAGCTGGTGCAGAATTCAGCTTGGAATAAGCTGATGAAAATCACTAATTTTTACCCAAATTCTATGCCGAGTTCTAAGAAGAAAGGAATTTTTTTGCTGTGTGAAAGATGTTAGAAAATAAATGGATTTTTAAGCAGTAAAAAAATGGAAGGAGAAAAATAGAATTGGAAACTATAGTGATGTTTCTTCTGGCATTGTTTCAGGGTGTTTTGTTTTGTTTTTTTTTTAATCTTTCTTTAGCAACAGTATCACCCTGTAGGTCTGTATTCAGTTTACAGCTTTTAAGACATGATTTTTTTTTAGTATTGTTTTTGAACTATTTCTCTGTCAAAATTACTTAAAATTCTGAACCAGTGGTGCAAGTGCTTGGAAAGAGCTTGGTGGCATACACAGAGCCTCCTTGTTTGGATATCCAGGTTAGTAATGGAAGTTTTGAACAGTCACAAGTCTCAAACATGTTCCTAGGTTGAAATAACCCCTTAATTTGCCATAAAATTGTTGATACTCAGACTTGCACTGATAACTCTTGTCATGCAGTTTTGTCTGTGGGATCCAGGGCAGAGACAGCATCCATTGCTACTAAAGACTTTGCAACAGCCTTTGCAAATAATTTATTTTATATATGTAAAATTTACAGAGTGCTCATACCTCTTCTGCAAAATAGTTGTTGATCCCTAAAGGAGTAAAGATTGAAAAGTAATTTACTATGTTTATTTTACCTGGTTTGCTTATGTAATGTGATTTCTGCTGTCGTTAAAAATGCAGTATAGTTAGGAAATGGTGCAACTATTTCCTGTAGCCCTGTCAGATCCTAAAATGGATTGATACAGATTGTTCTTGACTAATCCATATTTTCATATAATGTTGTATGATATTTTAGATGGTTAAAACGCCACTTCCTCAATAATTTCTTTGAGTATCTTTGTAACTTCAGACTTCTCATTGCTAATTTCAGTAAAACATATTTGATGTTTTTGTTTTTAATATTGTATGAATGAAAGACTTGCCCAGTCTTTAACAGTAAGACCGGTTGTTTTCCAGGTACCCAGCCCCCTGAGCTGAAGGACAGGATTGAGGAGCAGAATGAAGCCCCCCTAATCCAAAGGGAAATGGTCAGGGACCTGCTACACCACTTGGAGACATGGAAGTCTATGGGGCTGGATGGGATCCACCCAGGGGTACTGAAGGATCTGGCAGAAGGACTCACTGAGCCACTTTTGATCATTTTTACCAGCAGGCCTGGCTGCCAGGGAGGCCCAGGTGGCTGGAAGTCAGCACGTGTGGCACCATGTACAGGAAGGGCTGGAAGGGGGACCGAGGAACTACAGGCCTGTGAGTCTGAACCCGGTGCCAGGGAAGGTCATGGGTCAGATCATCTTGGGTGACACCATGCAGCACATGAAGGACAACCCAGGGATCAGGCCCAGCCTTCATGAGTTCATAATAGGCACGTCCTGCCTGACCAACCTGGCCTCCCATGACAAGGTGACCCTCTCAGTGGGTGAGGGAAAGGCTGTGGATGACGGACAGGCTGTTGTCTATCTGGAGAAGACTGTAGTAAAGCCTTTGACACTGTTTCCCACAGCATTCCCCTGGAGAAACTGGCTTTATGTGGCTTGAGATGGGAGTATGTTGGATGGGAGCAAACAGTATGGGTGTCTGGGCCCAGGGAATGTTGGATAATGGAGTTAAATCCAGCTGGTGGCCACTCATAAGTGGTGTACCCCAGGGCTTGGTATTGGTGTCAGTCCAATACCTGTTTAATATGCTTTATGTGTTTAATATCTTCAACAACCTAACAAGGGCATCCTCAGTAATTTTGCAGATGGCACTCAGTAAGGCCGGGGTGTTGATCTGCTGCAGGACAGGATCTGCTCTGCAGGAGGATCTGGACAGGCTGGATCCATGGGTTGAGACCACTTGTATGAGGTTCAGCAAGGCCAAGTGCTGGGTTATGCACTGGGAAAAAGGAGACCTTATCCTATGGAGTAGAAGTGGCGGATCTTTAAAACATCCACAGATGTGTTCTAAGGGACAGGGTATAGTGGGTGCCTGGGAGTGTCATGTTAATTGTTAGTTATATTAAAGATCTATTCCAACCTAAATGATTCCATGATTCAATGGCTATGTTTTTACTGTGCCTATCTGGAGACTTTTTACAGAAAAAAAACTTTTCTTCCTTATTTTATGAAAGGTTGGATACATTTACCTCCCACTCAGCATCACTTACAGTCCTTTTGTGGCAGCCGGCAACTGCTTTTTATTCGCAGCACACTTCTGGTGTCATTACTTCTCAATTTCTGTCTGCTGCTAACATTAGGGATCCTCCCAAGACGTGTCATCTCTATCACTGCAAGTCGATATTCATTTATTTCCTTCAAGGTCCACAGCTCTGCCCCATCCAGCACCAGGGAGAGCCTCATGGAAGCAGCTGAGCGGGAACCTGGGATCGCAATCGGAGAATGCAGAGAATGTCCTAAAGACAATGAGTGGTAATTTACCCAACTGATTATCCACTGCTTTAAAACCCAATCAGCTGTTTACAATGAGCTCTTTTTGGTCACGAACTTGAATGCTAGAAGGTTTTTCCTCCTAAATTTTTATTCAGTTTACACAGTGTGACTTATATTACTGCTGGTCATTTCCAGCTATGTTCTTTGTACGGCTGGTAGTTCTGAGTTAGGTCCTTCCCTGAAACCTGTTCACAGGATTTTCACTTCAAGTAACTTGGAAAGGAAGCATTTTTATGGAAAAGGAAATGGATTTCATCAAGGTTTACATGTTTTTTACCCCTCCAGAGGAACTTCTTAAGACACTAGAGGAAAGTGATAAGTAAGAATAAATAGGAAAAAGTGTTTCAGAGCTAACAAACAGAAGACTGTTAGGGCACAGCAGAACAATTAATTTAACAAACAGAAGACTGTTAGGGCACAGCAGAACAATTAATTCACTCTGTAGGCAGCTTTAATTAGGAATCATTGTTAGGGATTTTCTGAGTCCTTGAAATATGTAGTTAATGGGCTACTGGCTAAAATTAGTTTTCTTTTTGGCTGTAGAAAACCCTTGCCTCTCAGAAAACTGTCTCACCTTGATGAGTTTGATAGGACTGCTGATAAAAACCATCAGTTGGCTTTCAGATGCACCAACATAGACTTGCTCATCATTCAGAGATACAGTGCAGCTGCTTCCCAGGGACTACAGCCAAGAGACCTGTGTCTGCTGAGTAAGTAGTGCTGAGCAGTCTAAATTTGAAGACATGACTTTTATATGGGTGCTGACAGAAGGGGTAAATGGCTCTTGAATTTTCTGTATCTTTATCTATACCGATTGTATATTCAAAATGCTTATGTAGTTGATTTTAAACCATACTACCCAAGATGCACATGTTAAGAAACAGAAACTGTAGGTTTCTGATTTCCATCAATGAGAAATACTTCCATCTTTTTGTTATTGTACACCTTGATTTATTTTAAGCTAGTAGTTCATGTTTGTGTAGCATAGCATTTAAATTGACAGTGGGATGTTAAAGTTAGGACCTTTTCACAATCATCAGGAGGTGCAGAGGTTTGTTATCACTGGGGATTCATGGCACATTGGAAAGGTAGAGGAAGTTAACTTCAACAGTTTATAGCAGAAGTTTCAACATAGAGATGTGATTCATAAAACCCTCTCTCATTTCCTCAGTGTCCTCATCCTCATTTTTCAAATTTTCTTCTGTTGATACTTAAGAGGCACTGAGAATGACTGAAACTCACTGTGCTTCCTGGAAGGATCTTATGTGTGTAAAACAGTAATGTTATTCTGTTCTGGGATTATTTTACTTTTTAAAAGAGTATTTGAGCCCTAGGGTGGGATTGAATACTGGTCCCTTAAGGAATTAGTAAAGTACTATTTTGATATCAGTGCTAGAGTATGAATTGGGTTTGGCCACCTGAATGAATTTTAAGCTTTCTGTTCTAGGCAGTGAAAATCCTGTTTGGCTTCATGCTATTGATTTATTATTCTGAGATCTGCATCCACCTGCAATCAATTCTTACAAATGAAGATGAGATTTAAATACTTCTGTTGTTTTCTGCTTAAGCAGAAAAAAAATGCATTTGGTTGACCTGCAGGGCTGCAAGTCTCCATTCTACACAATATAAGGGAATCTGAGAGTGGGTCTGAAGGCTGTTTGCAACATGTGAAGCTCTGAATTTTAAATGGGTGTTTTCATCATTAGCTTTAGAGAAACCTTTCTTCTTTCAGCTTCTCCTTGCAGAGGTTAAGCCTGCACACCTACATCCCGATCCAAGAGGGAAGCTGGTTGTGATTCAGTAATTGTCTGGTAAGAATAATTAGGTCATTACCCATGACTGGCAGTGCTAAAAAACCCAGCTGGAATTTGTGAATTTTGTTGATTGTTGAATGGCTGTTGGTGAGATATTTCATCCCAAGTGTTTGACTTGGAGCTGTGGTAGTGGGCTTATGAGCCAGATAATGTTCTTCTGTAATGTGTATGAATTTTAGGACTTTTGATTATTTTCCCAGTGTCAACCAATAATTTTTGTGATATAGACTGCTGTTTTCAGTAAAGGGTTGAAAGAATTGGTGTTCTGTACAAATTGATGCCTACTAACAGCAATAATCTGAACAGAGGGACTTGCACGGTTTTGAGACATTTCTTGAACATGCTTTGTTGGGCATTTTATTAAATACAAATATCCTGGAGAAGACTACATAGTCTTGAATTTTGGTTTTACCTGGTTGCAAAGGAGGTCATTACAGAATAATTAATGCAGAAAGGTTTCTGCAGCATTAACTCAAATTGCTGAGGCAGTTTCTGCAAAAGTAACACCTGGTCAGTTATGTAAACATCCTTTACCGACAACTCCTAGTCCTTTTCATGGTTAAAAATGTGAGTGTTTAAGATGTCTTAATATGAGAGTGTAAGAAATAGACATGTAATGGAACTGAGTATTCTTCTAGATACACTTTATTTAGAAGTCTGGTTAAAAGGCAGTATAATTTCTGATTTAAAAAAAAAGTGGTTACAGTTCAGCTTAGTACAAAGAATCATGATATAAGGGGGAGAAGATAAGATGGACATGGATGAACAAAGTGGAAGTCTACTAAGTAAAGAGTGTTATGCATAACATTTTCTTTTCCAAAAAAATAGTGGAATTTTCCTGTTTAATGGTGGTCAAAATAGATTGGACTGATAAAACTCCTTAGTCACTAATTACAACTAAAGGTAAAAGGATACCAGTTTTTTAAATGTTCAAATTTTGCTTCATTAGTAAGAGCATGCCTATATTTGGTTTCTAATTTATTTTCATTTTCTATTAGCACGTAAGATGAAAATGGGACCTGATTTTTGATGGTACCACTAAGGAGACAAGGGTGGCTCACCCACCCTGGGGCAGCAGTCACCAGCTGGTGGTCCTCAGGGGTTTGATAGGTTTCCAGGTTGGAATGGGAAGGTGTTTCCAAGGGTGCTCAGACTTTTTATTAGTGTCTCATGGCCTCAGCTGCCACCTCACAGTGAGGAGCAGCCCCAAGACACCTGCTTTTGTCAGAAGCACTGTCTGCATAATCCTCTTACAGCTTGTGTGATCAAGGAACATATGTCTGATAAGCATGGTTATAAACAAACCTGTCATCAATATTCTTGCCTCCTGAGCCCACCTTGGCCACAGGTGGACACCACAAGGAAGAGCCTGTGGTATCAGGTTGGATATAACAAGTTGGCATCAGTGCAGAATGGCAGAAAAGCAGATGTGCTCGTGCCCACATCCAGCACACTCTTGTTTAACACACACATCTCCAACCTGAGAAGCCCAGGTGATGGTTTAAAGACTTGCATCATCCATAAAATCAGTAAGGATTACAGACATCCATAACTGTGTTTCCAGGTGGGGTTTTTGCTTCTAAAAGCAGCTGTTCCTAGAGCTGAGCTCCTTTCCCCAAAGGAAGTTTAATTTTCTGTGTCTTGTCTGATATATGCAAGTTGTATTTTAACTTTTGCTTTCTGTAAACAAAAAGTTACCCCTTTGTATTAGAATATTATTTTCTCAATATAGTTTTAAAAGTAAAATGCAGTAAAATTATTGCACGGTATGCACAAGAAACAGTCAATACAGTGTAAGGGCATATTTCAAACCCTGCTGAAATCAACTATAAAACTCTCATTGATTTAACTAAGCCTTGGACCAGGTTTTAATAGATGAGATTAGGCAGAGCACCTGCTTGGACATTAACCATTGTGCATAAAGGTGCTCTTCCTTGCTTCTAGCTGGCATTAAAGTCCTGTAGAACGCATATTTTTGTTGCCAAAAGCTTTATTCTTTAAGAGACTGGTTCATTTTCAAGTTTGGACCTTGAAAATGGCAAGTAGAGATAACAATGATTATTGCTGTTGAGATATATTATTATACTGTTCCTACACAGAACTACATAATAGTCCCGCTTCTAAATTGGTATTTTATTGGCAGTGATAATGATGGGTTGATGGAGTGTAGAAATGTTGAGCAGGGAATTACTATACTGGCTTAAAGAGCTAGATCTAAGGAATATTGGTGGGGGAGAAGAAGAGTACCCTGATTTTGGAATATTAGGTTTTAGACCAAAGGAAGCAAAAGGTTGTTGTAGCTCACCTTCTGCCATTTATGATAGCAGATCTCTTGTGATTTATGCTTCCTACAGTACTTAAATGAATATATACATTGGACCAAAGTTATCTTTGGTTCTCCCATTCCTAATTTAAACTGCTTCTTGCCCTTCCTTAATAAAGGTGAGACGGAGTTACAGCCTTGGGCTTTCTTGAGCAAGTAGAACACTCCATCATACTGTACCAGGGCTTTTTTGACTGGTTTTTATTGCAGATGACCAGCTGGAAGAGCTGTGCAGCTCAGCACATAGTGTTGATGTTCTTCTTTGGCCATTGGAATGAAAAAGGCTAGTAAAATTCTGAGGGTTTTTTGTTTTTGGTTTTTTTTTCCCCTTTCTTTTATGACTTGCATCCTCTGGGGCCCTGCTCTACTGAGAGCACTGTACTTCACCTTGCAGCCTCCAGGGCTAAACCCATAGTTTAGCACAATTTTCGATTTTCCTAAACTGTTGCCAAGTGCAAGTAGACATCAGGTGGCACTTTCTCTATACTCTATCCAATTGTACAAAATACAGTACTTAGGAGCCCTGTAATGGACAGCTGCCAAAAAGCAGACATTGATACCTGTCTGATGAGCTCTCTCCTGAAAATGGTGCAGTTTTCACATTGCTTCTTGTTGCACTCTGGTCCTGGTTACAGTGCCAGCAGAATGCTGTGCTCACAGAGACATAAGCGCTTCAGGCTTAAAGGGGATTATTTTAAGATTAAATGCAATGACTCCTTCTGCTACTTTTAAAATGGATCTGAGGAGAAAAGAAATCCTGTTGTTTAAAATGCTCCGTGCTCCTCCCATGCTCACTGCTGAGGACCTGTGACCTACTGGTTTGCCTTGGCAGGATTTCCCCTTCCCTGCAGCTTCTCCCCCTGCAGCTGCTCATTTTGGAGCCCACATGGCTGTACTCATTGTTAAAAAACACAGCTGCTCTGCATCCATTGTAAGCTCCAGCTATTGATTTAGATCCTCCAATTTTCATGTGTTGAAAGACAAAATGGTTGTTTAGAGAGGCATTTGTGTGGAACCTGCAGTCAGCCAGGGCCTTGAGGCAGAACAGCCTCAACTTCTCTGCATGGTTGATGTGCCAGAGCACTCAGAGTAGCTCCCAGTCTCTTGTCCTTGTTTTATTATAACGAACACAAACAACCAAACGTGACTGGAGGAAACAGATTTGTTACCAATCAAACCAGAGTAGGACAATGATAAATAAGCCCAAATCTTAAAAACTCCTTCCCCCAACCCTTCCCTTATTTCCAGGCTTAATTTCACTCTTGAATTTTTTCTCTCTTCCTCTCCAGGGGTGCAGAGGAATGGGGAAAAGGAGTTGTTGTCAGTTTATTGATGTTTTTGCTGCTCCTTCAGGGACTGCTCCACAGTGGGGTTCCTTTCATGAGAGAATGTCCTCTGCAAACCTCTCCAAAGTGAGTCCTTCCCACATGCTACACTTCCTTATGAACTGCTCCAGCATGAGTCCCTTTCCATGGGATGCAGTCCTTCTAGAACAGACTGCTCCAGTGTGTGTTCCCTGGGTGGTTACAAGTCCTTCCACCATGTTCTTCATCAAGGGCTCCAAGAGAATCTCATCTCTGGCACCTGGAGCACCTCCAACCCTGCAGAGAATCTCATCTCTGGCACCTGGAGCACCTCCAACCCTGCCTTCTTTAACCTTGGTGCCCTCAGAGCTGCTCCTCTCACATATTCTCACTCCTCTCAGCTCTGGCTACAATTGCTTTTGCACACTAATGCTTTCCCCTTCTCAAATATGTTATCAAAGAGGCACTGTCACCATCCCTGATGGGCTCAGCCTTGGCCAGTGGTGCATCTGTCTTGGAGCTGGCTGCAATTGACTCTGTCAGACACAGGGAAACCTTCTTGCAGAAACCACCCTTGCAGTGCCTCCTCTCTCCCCAAAACTTTTCTATGCAAATCTGGCCAAGAGCCCTTGGGATCACTTTCAAGGATTCTTCAGTCTTGGGGAAGTGTTTTGGATGTGCAGGATTTGCTGAGGACAATTTTAATGATGTTTTGAACAGGAGAACTCCCAGGGTTTATTATTTGCTTTATTTTTATTTGCTTTACTTATTTGGCTTGTACCACTATGTCCCTGCATCCCTGAAGGTCCCATGATGATTTGCCCACTGTTTTTAGTGGAGTGGAGCAGGACATGAATGCCTGACATGAGGAATGCTACAGCTCTGTCTCAACAGGTGCAACACTATGTTTTCTAATCTATCTGATTGTAGGGGTGCAGCATTTTCAATTTATTTGAAAATTTCAGCAGCACACAATAAATATCAATACTACAAGGGATGGAATGATATGCTGTTATCATACTAGAAATGGTATTTCAAAATTAATCTTGCCAAATCAATTTCACTATGACTTTTATTACAGTAGCTTAAATAATGAGCCTGGTAATAAACTGCAATATATATTTGATTTGTTTTAAATGTACAAGCAAAAAGAAAGAAGTGCCAATTTATATAAAATTAAGTTTTTGAGGTGTAACAGTTTTTAATGAAGGGAGCTATTTGTCACAAATTATTTGGTCTGTTTAGAGGTAGAATTAGAGTTGCCTCTCTAAAGGTGGAGTAGGTTTCAGTATGCATATTGCCTGCCTTAGAAATGCAAATAAAACGCTGTCCTTACTTGGAGGATGAGATGAAGGATGGCTCAGAAGCCTTGGATTAGGTTAGGAAGTGAAGGAAGGAACTGATACATCCATTGATATCTCCATTTCTGTATGCTGAATGTAACTATTTTGTACTTTGGGAGAGTTGCTGACTTGTCATGGGATGTGCATTGTGCATTAGCAACCTTATGCATTCCCATGATGCAATTTATGTTGCATCCACACTGGAATCCTGTTGTGCTCAGTAGCTGGGAGTTTATGGTGTGCAGGTTTAGCAGCTGAGGTGATGTGTGCAATACAAGGCTGAGGGGGTGTGTTTGTACAAAGTGTGGTTTGTGTGCACTGATGAATTCACAGATGGCTTTTATGCCGTGGAATTACGGTGAAAGCACATTTTGGGGAATTTATGGCATGAAAAATGAAGCTGGTCTTGTGTTTGGAAGTTTGGCACTTCAGTGTCAGTACTAAAGGGATTTTTGGATTTGAGATGGAACATGTGTTCTGTAACTCACTGTGCTCTCAAGTTCTACATTTGATCTGTCATAAATTTGGTGCCAGTGCACTCACTTGACGGTCTCTGTTTTGAGCTGTAGCCCAATATTAGTGAAAAGCAGTCAAAGTCCTCTTGGGGAGGCTGTTTGTAAATCACTGCTTGTGCAAACTGCACTACTGGTAACAGTGAAAAGGAATTCCAGAAAGATGAAAGGGGTCATCATTTAGAAGATGCTATCTGCTGTGTAGCCAAATTACTATAGCCAATTCCTTCCTTTTCTGCCCCATGTATTACTCTTTGCCTGGGACAAAGAAGACTCATAAATATCTCCTTTTACCTCCTGCTTTCCTAATGTAAGGTATTAGAAAAATCTGGTTCTTTGCAGAAGAGAAATTTAGCTGTTTATAAAAATTTATCTTAGCAATGTGAAATAACATCATGCATGAATAAAAGATGTATCCAGCTCTTAATGGGAGAACAATTATTGCTCAGAGATTTCCAGTATGGTCTCTTTAGATGTGTATTTTCACTGAAAGCAGCTTGCATGGGATTTGTTTTATTTGTGTGTAGCCCATTGTTTCACTGTAACCATGTAGCTGTGGGATCACAATGACTGACATTTGCTGTTTGACCTGGAAGTGACTTCTTGAAAAGCTTCTAAATACATGAATGCCTGGGTTTCTGTAACTTGCAGACAAAGTGGCTTCTAATCACGTCGCAGAGTAGCTCCTTTGTAATAGAGAGGAAACCTATTGAAACCAGGGTTTGGCTATCAGTCACTTGCAGATTTTCAGAACACCTGAGAAACAATACGGAGTACAGGTGCTTCCAAAGTAATTAGTATGTATTCAGTTAATGACTTGTCACCCTCTCTTTATTTTGGAAAAAGAAATAAAAACCCCTGTTTCACACACTTTCACTTCTCAGCTCTAGTCAATCAAGAATTATAAGCAAGCACATTTGAACTCATAATGAACAAGATATGTAGTTGCTTAGTTTTTAATTAGGAAAGGCACATTGCGTGCACAAATATAATTACAGCTTTTTTTTTTTTTTTTAAAGACCAGCAATTACCAGGAAAAAAGGTTATTGACACACTTGAGCCTTATTTACAGATGTGCATTTCAGTGATGCCAATACAAATATAAAACTGTGTGTGCATCACCAGGATCCAGCTTTATCCATACACACATATGAACTTCTGAAGATGTTCTGATGGCTGGATCTGTGCTGGAAATTCCTGTGAGAGAGTGAGGTGTTGGGAGGATGTGAGAAACACAAACTGAAGAAGGCATGCTGAAATTACTGAAAGATAAGCCACCCAAATGCACTCGCTACTGGTACAACAGCGTTTTGGGCTTTTTTCCTGAATGACAGTAAAGATGCCAGAAGGTTGCAGACTCTGTAGAAAAATATACACGTGCACCTGTGATTCCAGCTACTAACCAACAGCTTGGAATAATGTCTTGGATACAGGAATTTCGATGGCTCTTCTCTTGCCCACTTCCACCTCCCTTTCACTAAATTGCTGAAGAGACTCTCTTTTAACTGTGGTGACTGTGAGAGACAGGCTCTTTCCACTGTGGGGGAAAAAAAAATTAATTCCCTGCCTCTGGAAAGCTGATAGTCTTCAGCTTAAGTCTAAGTTGTCTTAATGGGTTTTAGACTGCCAGATAGCAGGCGTTCTGCTCTATGACAACTCTGCTTTGGAAACTCACTGCACAGACCTAATGGAAATGGATGTAAAGTTTAGTGATTGTTAAACTGTGACGCTGAGAGACAGCACCCTCGAGGTAAAGTCCTCCAAATGAACTGCAACTGAACAATAGTTCAAGGAAACTTGTCATCCAACCACCAGGATCTGACATTGCTTCTGACTGGCAGAAGAGAAGATAAAAACACTTTATGGATTCCTGCAGCCAGAAGCAGAATTTCCCAGTTTAGAGTGAATGGAAAGCCCTTTGTGTGTGTGTATGTTTTATATTTTATCTTTGTAAATACCTGATTGTATTGATGTGCAAAGAACCCTATTAAAAAGGTCATGTTAAACAGCCACAACCCTTGTAGTAAAGAGTGAAGTAAAGGGTTCTTTGTAACAATTTATAATATTTTTTTTTTCCTTGAGAGAAGATGAATGTCTTTCCTTCATTCCCCTGCTGTTTGAGAACTTCAGCAAGGATATCACAGGTGCTCCCTGCCCCTGTTGCAGTGTTGTCCTTCATTTTGTGATGCATTATGTAAAGGTGTGAGAGGCTGCAAACTTCAGGAGTCTAAAGCAAAAAACGAGGATATTTTTTACTATCCAAGTTTCTACAAACTTAGCTGAGTTCCAAGCCAGGCTTACGACCTTGAGCTGCACCGCCACTGAGATTATCTCAGATGATTAAAGCATGGTGCTAATTATGCCAAGGCTGTGAGGCCACTCACTTGAGTTGGACCTGCTGATCCTTGTGGGTCATCAATATTCAGTGATCAGAATATTCTGTGATTGCTAAAAACAATTGGCTTGACAGGCAGATGGAATCAGCTCACTTTGTTCAGCAGCTCCTTCTAGAGCTGAGCAGGAACTTCACCAGCCTCAAAATTAACTCATAAACTGGCATGTTCCAGGTGTCATAGCATGCCCTAAAATGGGAAATGTGTGTGAGAAGTTATGCATTTCAGTAGCTTACTGGTGAACTCTCATATGAAGACCTTTCATAAAACCCCTTTCCTCTGGACACCAGGTGGTCTGAAATCTGTAAAACTGAAGATAGATCTCAGTGTCTCTGTTCTGTATGGAAGTATAATCCATAATGCTACTGGGAAGGTGAGAAAGGAGGATGTCTGGGGTTTTTTGAGAGTTTTACATTCCAAATAGTTTTCAAAGATGACTTGCACAACACTGGGAGTTCTGTCTCTGAGACACCACCATGATGAATAACTAAATAAGATGTTTTTGTGAGCAAAGTCCTTTGTAATGCAGACCCTTTAGAAAGCAATAGATCAGACTCCTGGCTGATGTTCTCCACTATCGTTCCATGGCTTGAATATAAATATATGCATATATATATTTAATACCTTCTGTGATTTTTCTCTGTATTTCTAGGGGGTTCTTCACTGAACTGCATCAAGATGATCTGGGAGCATTTCTGTAGAGCAGGTTGTTGGCTTAAAGGATTTTTGTGCCCTTCATGCTGCCCTTCAGGTTATAGAACAGTCCTTTATCTTTTACATTTTGATGCATTTTGGGTATTTTTTTTCTGTTTGAGAAGAGGTCTAAGAAATTGGGTGCATTATCTCAAATTGAAACTATCCTAGATGAAATTTCAACACTTACTTTTATATGCTCTACATACTTTAATATGTTTCTGACTGTGAAATAAAATGCATCATCTCAACAAAATAGCTTCTTCTTTACTGCTGCTTCACTCTGCAAAACATCTCCTGTAATATCTTTAACTTCCCGGCAGCAATTCAGCTCAGTTAATATACTACAAGTGTAGAACTTGTATTAAATCTGTGAAATGACTGCACCCCCCAAAATCACAGAATAAGCTGAATTGGAAGGGACCCACCAGGATCATCGAGTCCCACTCCTGGCCCTGCACAGCACCATCCCCAAGAGTCACACCAAGTGCCTTAGACTATTGTCCAAACACCTTTTGCACTCTGTCAGGCTTGGTGCTGTGACCACTGCCCTGGGGAGCCTCTTCCAGTGCCCAAACACTCTCTGCATGAAGAACCTTTTCCTAATCTCCAACCTAAATCTCCCCTGACACAACTCCAGGCCATTCCCTCAGCTCCTGTCTCTGGTTACCAGAGAGAGGAGATCAGTGCCTGCCCCTCTGCTTTCCTTCACAGGAAGCTGTAACTGCAGCAAGGTCTCCCCTCAGTCTCTTCCAGGCTGAACAGACCAAGTGATCTCAGCTGCTCCTCACACTTCTTCCCCTCAAGGCTCTTCACCATCCTCATTGCCTTCCTCTGGACACTCCCTAGCAGTTTATATCCTTTTTTCTCTTACAGTGCCCAAAACTGCCCCCAGCACTGGAGGTGAGGCTGCCCCAGTGCAGAGCAGAGCGGGACAATCCCCTCCCTTGCCTGGCTGGCCATGCTGTGCCTGATGCCCCCCAGGACAGAGATGTCCCTCCTGGCTGTCAGGGCACTGCTGACCCATATCCATATCCAGGACCTCCAGGTCCCTTCCCAAGGCGCTGCTCCCCAGCCTCTCATTCCCCAGTCTGTACATGCAGGGCTGCACAATCCCAGGTGCAAAATCTGGCACTTCCCTTTGTCGAACTTGCTGTGGCTGGTGATTGTCCAGCCCTCTCATTTGTCCAGGTCTCTCTGCAGGACCTCCCTGCCCTTGAGGCAGTTTTAAACACATTTCCAAACTTACATTTTTCTTTAAGAGCCACCCACCAAACCTGAATGGTACAGTTCCCAAGACTGAGGTCTTTGGAAGAGAAAAGATCAAATGAGAGCTGCTCCTATTTCAGATTTTTAAGGAATAATTTCCACCCATCCTTTCCAATCCATAGCTTTTATCTACTTACATACTGACTGCACACATGAGGAATGTGCAAAGAGCAGATTGAAATTAGATGCCAAACCTGATATGAAGGCACCACATGCATCTGAGGAAGGATGTGTGCAGTAGAATATGCTTAAAGAATTCTATAACACGTGAATTACATAAAGGACTAGTATCTGCTTCTGAAGATTAATTAACTCATAGTCTGTGAATGACCTCTACTCTCTCAGTGGTAGCTACAATATATTCCTGCCTCTCAGCTGACATGCTCCTTTTTGGAGCATCAGTTTTCCTGCACATGCTGATTTTCCATCCTCCTAACTAGTTCTGGTGGCTTGTCCCTCCTGCTACAGCTCACAGTTTGTTATTTTGAAGACTAGCTGTGAAGGCTAGGAAGGACACCATTGCTATAATGACATTTTGCTTTTTAGTATCCTCACCTATAAAACAGGTAGTTCAGCTCAGCGCTCTGTGGTTCTGTTTGATGGGGTTAAAAAGGCACCTAGAGCATCCAAGATAGCAGATAGGTGCTGTGAATTAATATTTTTAGGCTTCACTTTGTATATATCTGCATTTATTCCCTTTGACACGTGAAACTGTTATGAAGAGGAACTGTTCTTTCCACAAGAGCAGTTTTCACTATTCACCACCTATTTTCCTCCTACTGAGAAGCTGGTGAAGCTACTGGAAGCAGACAAAATCACAGGCACCTTCCCAGTAAAATATCAAGAACAAGGAGTCAAGAACAGTTCCCAAGAACCCACAGTTCAAAATTTATATGTATAAAATATTCTAAACAGTAAAAAGCACTTTTTTTTTCTTTTTTTTTTTTTTTACAGAAGAGAAAGGTCTCTTAGTTGGAGAAGATCTTCACAGTGTATAATTCAGCTTCTGTTTCAAAAATAAAAAGCAACATAAACACATTTGTTCGCTGTTCAAATTGTGTCATAGACCCCACAGAAAACAAATTTTCACAGTATCCAAGATCCAAACCTGGAAGAAGCATTCATTCTCCATTAGTCAGAGAGACTGAATGTGGCAGTTTGTGCCTCACCTTTCAAACTCAGCTATTTATCTGTGCTGGCAAAAATAAAGAAGCTTGAATGCTGTCTCCTGCATCGAATAACCCTCTACACCTAACAGCATTACCATGACAAAAAGAGTAGTTATGATTCCTCCTACACAGGAATAGAGGAAGAAAAACTTGTAAATTGGCAGTGACATCATCTGCTAGAAAGTGATTCACACTTCATGAAACAGCAGGGAAAATGAAATTTACTCCCAACCACCACAAAGCTCTTTCACTGAATCAGTGTGTGGCAGAAATGATAGTAGGAGACATAAATCCTTTCTCTATTTTCGAAAGACAAGGATTGTGTAATGAGCTAGAGTGCATAGAGCAAAATTACCATACACTGTCACTGAAATATATTTCCCCTGTGGTTTTGCCAAAAAAAGGTATGAAGCCAGAATAGAAAATAAAACAGGTGATGCTGGAGGCAGAAAGTGGATTAATAAGGATCACCAACGCTATGTGACTGGCTTACAAAGCAGTGCCTTGCATGACTGACAGCATTAGAAGATGAGCTGTTTAATATTCTCTCTGAAGTTGCCCTCTCCTCAGAACACAGCCACACCTGAATACACTGCAACCTCCACATCCCCTGCTCTGCTGACAACGTGCTGAGGGAAGCGGAGAAAATTTCAACACGTGGAGGATAGCGTTTCCCCACATCCCTCTGAACCCTGCTGGACCCTGGCAAAAAGAAAAGTTAAATAATTTCCCAGTCTTCCTACAGAATTCCTCAGGTGTAGCTGCAACTACTCTTTATATTATAGTGGTGCCCATGATGAGCAGATGTTTGCAGACAAACGTGAAGGATCCTGCCTTGCCACACACTGTGGTTGACTGAATTACGTGATTTCCAGGCAGGTACCGTTTTCTGTCCAGGGTCAAAGCTTTGCAGTCTCCTAATAAATTAGGCAGGAGCACCATGCAACAGGAGAGAACTCTAAAAAGTTGTCATTTATGAAGATAAATAAAGTTGCCACTAGTCTTGCAAATCTGCCTTCAGTGAAAACTCGCACATGCTGAAGAGAGAAATGTTTGTCAAGCTCTGCAGAGAAGTCTGAAGCTCCATTTCTGTGTTGAAGAGAAGGAAACAAAAGATAAAAATAGCTGCAAAGGAAGTAACCTACATTTTTCCTTTTAGCTCCCAATGCTCTGGTCCGACACTAAAGAAGGACCCCAGACATAGAAGAACTCGTGACACTGCTTTGGGCCAAACCTCAGCAATCAGGTTCCAAAGGCTACCATGCAGAAGCAACCATGATTTCAGCAAACTATTAACTTGGACATTAGTAAAAACATTTCCAGAACTTTGAGAACCAAACTGGGCACTGATTCAAGTCAGTGAGACCTTGAATACAGTTTTGCCACAACAACCATATGAATTTTATTGTTTCATGCAATTTTTTTGGAAAAACCCAGCTGTACTGACAGCTTTTGTCATGATTCAGTGTCCTTTTTGGAGCACTGTGTTGACAAGCTGGAAACAGGCCACAAACACAGGAAGAAAATAAATGAAATGTACCTTCCTGTTTCCATCCAATTTTGGAAAAGGCACTTGCATGGCAGAAAGTGGTAAGTCAGCCCACACCTGCTACAAGTTTCTTTCTTCCATTTTTTCAATCAACTACCAACGTTAATAATGTAAAGATTATATAAATAATTGGTTCAGTATAACCTCCTACACAATTATAGGCTCCAACAGAAATATTAATTGAAAGCATTACATAAAACACACATTTGTGTAAAAGATGCCTAGGAAATACAGAAATTGATCTGAGCTTCTCATAATTTTAAACCAAGCTGTGCCTCTCTTGATGCTAGAAGAAGAAAAGGAGTTATGTGAGCATGACTCTTCTCCTGGACAGGTCAGTCCTTGAAGGAGGGGTTCTCTGTTCATACAACACTTTTCTGGGACATAAACTTCTCCTGTGGGATATAAACTTCCACTTGTTCAAGGAGCACTACCCAGCATCTGACTGGTGCATTATACTCCTGAAGGCCTTACTAATTAGATTTACTGTTTAGATTCAGGCAAGAATCCCTTTATTTCATTAGCAGCTGTATTATGAGTAAAAGCTCATGTTTGTTTACACATTTTAGAAGTTACTGTAATAGATATTCTTTGCCATAAATAATACGAAACAGTCTCATAATCCTCATTTTACTATTGTACAGCTGTAGAAGTGGAGCCTCACAGATCAATAAATGGATAAAAGGAGAGGCAAACCAATTACTGCCTCTTCTGAAAAACAGCTTCTCCCTCCACATACCTCTCCCTCCTCTCTGAGAGGGAAGTGGAAGTACTTGCTGTGTGTCACACTGCTACTTCTCTTTGGTGACCCAGCAGAGGAAGGATCACCAGTGGCATTGTTGCCATTTTTACTGATGCTGTCAGAGTGCAGTAACCACTAACCCTGGCTTTAGAAGCAGTCAGATTTGTTGGGCTTTTTTTTTCCTTTTTTTTTTTTTTTTTAAACATATTTTGCACCTCAGT